CATTCATGTGAAACTGCTTTACTAGAAATTGTTAACACACGGGCACATGAAGTTGATAAAGGAAACATCAATGGTGTTGTCGTTTTAGATTTTAGAAAGGCATTTGATTGCGTAGACCATGATGTTTTAATACGAAAATTGAAACCCTACCAATGTGATGATGTAACTATAAACTGGTTCAGATCTTATCTAACGAATAGAGACCAAAAAGTATCTGTATCTGGAAAATTGTCTCAAAACATGCTTATGACACACGGAGTTCCTCAGGGATCTATATTAGGGCCTCTTCTGTTTGTAACATTTATATAAATTATCTGCCATTATAAATACAGTGTGACACTGACATGTACATGCACGCTGATGACACAACATTATCAGCATCTGGTTCCTAGCTTATTATTTTTATTGTTATTATATTTTTTTGTAAAAAAAATCTAGGTGTTGGCAGAAACACATTTAATGCTCTTGTCTATTTTGAATTAGGAAGACTACGAATGTATTTAGTGGGAAAATGAAAGTATTGAAATACTAGATTAAAGTAATAGAAACTGACAATTGTATACTGAGAGCATGCTATGAACAGAGAATCTCAGATAATGATGATTGGATTGTTAATATAAAGTCAGAATTAAATAAGAAAGGGCATCTATGGAATAGCAACTATGAACGTAAGATCATGTACAAGTCGATAGAACATAAATAGTATGAGAGACATATACAAGAAATGTTATCTTATGTACGTAATTCCTCCAAAGGAACATTATATCAACACTTAGTAGATAATTTTTGTTTGCAATTTTACTTAAAAAAACATTTTTGATCGCAATTTTACTTGAAAAAAACAATTGACCAAATGTATAAGAAAAGTATTTGGTCTATTAGATTATCTTCACACAGGGTAAATATAGAAAGTGGAAAATACGTCAATGTAGCTAGAGCAAATAGGGTATTACATTGTGTGATAATGGAGATGTTGTACATTGTGTGATAATGGAGATGTTGTACATTGTATGATAAAGGAGATGTTGTACAGTTTGTGATAATGGAGATGGTGTACATTGTGTGATAATGGAGATGTTGTACATTGTGTGATTATGGAGATGTTGTACATTGTGTGATAATGTAGATGTTGTTCAGTTTGTGATAATGGAGATGTTGTACATTCTGTGATAATGGAGATGTTGTACATTGTGTGATAATGTAGATGTTGTACATTGTGTGATAATGGAGATGTTGTACATTGTATGATAAAGGAGATGTTGTACAGTTTGTGATAATGGAGATGGTGTACATTGTGTGATAATGGAGATGTTGTACATTGTGCGATAATGGAGATGTTGTACATTGTGTGATAATGGCGATGTTGTACATTGTGTGATAATGGAGATGTTGTACATTTTGTGATAATGGATATGTTGTACATTGTGCGATTATGGAGATGTTGTACATTGTGTGATAATGTAGATGTTGTACATTGTGTGATAATGGATATGTTGTACATTGTGTGATTATGGAGATGTTGTACATTGTGTGATAATGTAGATGTTGTACAGTTTGTGATAATGGAGATGTTGTACATTGTGTGATAATGGAGATGTTGTACATTGTGTGATAATGGAGATGTTGTACATTGTGTGATAATGGAGATGTTGTACACTGTGTGATAATGGAGATGTTGTAAATTGTGTGATAATGGAGATGTTGTACATTTCATCCTGAAGTGTCCTTTTTATTCAAACTTACGAGTCGGATACTTAAAGTCTTACTATTTCCATCGTTCTAGTGTTTTCAAACTTGTCCAGTTACTAAGTGTTAATAATGTAAAAGAGTTATCTAATTTTGGTAAATAAGACTTGCATTTAAGCCACGCTCTCTGTCGTTATAGTTCTACACATAAATATATCGTGTGTGTGCGCGCGCATGTTTCCATAGTGTGTTAATGTATCAATTTACAATTGTCACTCTCCTGAACAACTGCATAAATTTTGTACAAATTGTAACTTCATATTTATCATGTTCTATATCATGCATCTCATAAGCCGCAAGGCATACAGAATAAATGAATTGAATGGAATTGAATGATGAAAACTGTGTTCGTATATTCAATCATTACCCAAATTCAGGTGTTAACTTACAGAACAGACATGACAGATATTGTTTTTTTCTAATTCTATGCTGTAAGCCAAAGAGGATAGACATCCGGTGGGCAGGAATTTCGATTTGTACGCAGCAAGTAATAGTATGCAGGATGATTGCAAAGGACCAGTTCAATAACTGGCTTAGTACCCATTAGCGTTAATCATTTTCTCTGCTTATCAGTTGTAAAACCAATCCTATTATAAATACAGATCATGGTGTATCTGTAGGTGCGATATTCTATCGGACAACACCTGGTGTCTTTGCAGATTTTAGGGGCAAAACTTGTCCCTGGGAGTTTTACAGAATTTCACGAGGTGTCAATTCTGTATTGCAGGTCTATGTTACATGCATGCAGCGACCACTGTAAAAAGGCTCCCTCAGTGCTTAAATGCATTTCATCGTTCTTGCTAGTTTCAATCTATAAGTGTTATTTAAAGGTTAAGTCGACACTGATGTTTAATGTAATGTAACAAAAAGGGAAGAAAAGTAATTAAGAAATAATATGAGTAGCAGCTAGCATTGAATGTAACAAATAAACAGTATGAAATCAACAAAAGGATAAACTGTTAATTGCAAGCATTAACTTGAACGAACAACTTAGTCTCTCTTTGCGTTTTCAAAGCATAAACTATCTGACTTTTGGTCAGTGTAGCATGTCAAACGCCCCTCTTACTTCTATCAATACTCTACTGAGCCTGTTTAATCTACATGATTCATATAGACTAGTATTGTCAAGAAATATTTGGTGTTAGGCAAGGAGATATACTTTGGTCCTTGTACTCTAAATCACAGGAAAATGTGTTTTTAAGTAAAAAGGCATTGTGGGATAAGTATGAAACTTTCACAAATTAAATATCATCTTATAACTAAACTGTATGCTAAGTTACATGCTTATCCCCAAATGCCTTTTATGTACAATCAGCGGATAAACATTGCAAATAGGCAGAACATTTGATAAAACAATGAAATCGGTTAACTTTAACGATTAAAGCAGATACTTTCCTTGAGGCTAGGAGACTTAAAATTACCAGCAAATCAGATTTCATATATTAAATCAATCATTTTACAGTATTTGTGGTGGCAAATGCCATTTTTGATTTGTAAGTTAACTTTGATAAGTAAAAAAAACAAATCAGGAACTCACTTCAGCCACAGGTGTTGCGCAAATATTATATGATATATATGATATACAATACTAACAATTGATATCTTATTATTATAGCATATAAAGGGTGTCATTCACCTTTTAATTCACTTAAAATTGAGAGATATTTGAAAGGAAAGTATGTAGTCAATATGCAATATTTAAGTCTACTTTAATGAGTTAAGTTGTAAATTTCAAGTCAAAATATTAATTAGAAAGGAAATTATTGAGAAAACAAATTACTTTTCAATTCAAAATGACCGAAAAGACCCCCCTGACGTAATCCTTCGTTTTATATGAACAATCTTTAAGTGACGATTGAATTTCTGTCATTTTTCATTCCGTTACATAAATTATGCTTGTCTAATTTATACATGTTTTCAAAAACAGAAATGGTATTATTTTGGTTTTTAAGCTCATTTTGTAAACAGCAAACTATATTTGTGATTTACCATACCCCTTTTGGCACCCCCAGAAACCCACTTTCGGTCAAAGTTTTACCTTAGTTTTTCCGCATGTCATACAATAGGACATCTTTGAACAAAATAAGGAGGTGAAAATGCGAATATACCGGGGCCCAAAAAAGGGCCTTATAGACACCCTTCCTTTCCTCACAAAATCCTGCTGACGTGACTGGAGTGTAGGATTGCGTTGTCTTGTTGGACGCTGGAAAATTCATCTCGATAACGGGTTCCAGACATTTCCTCTTGACTTCAAACGAAAGGAAACAAAAAGACAAAACTCACCCCATTTCTAACACCAGCTTAAACTTCACCTTACAAATAACGGTTAAAGGGGTTTTCTACAGGGATACCTACATTATGTAATAACAGTTTTCTTGGTTATGGTTCCTCAAAAACGGGCACAAACAACGTATATTACCGTAACTTTGTCCGTCCGTGTCTCCGTATGTCCGAAGTTTTTTTTAGATGATAACTTTGGAACCGTTTTATGTAAACCAAATTAATCAGAACGATCACGAAGTCTAAGGTCAAGGTCACAGTTGCTACCAATAGACCAACAATTATATAAAGACTGAAAGCTTATAAGGAAATGTGTTTGTCAATTTGTCACGCTAAACAAGCATACTGTATACTGTACTGTACAGTGCTGCACATAATGTATCGTCATTAGAGCGCATTATACTGTATGTACCTGGTGTATCTGTGCGTTATGCATTGTCATTGTTGATATAGTGTAATGTAAGCTACCTACTCTAGCACAGATCCCGGTAAGTGCTACTTCTATGGTAGACATGATGAGCGTAGCCGCCGAGATAAAGTAGTTATATTCTTCAACAAGTTGATGCATTCGTTTTTTTGTAAACAAATTATTATTTCAATGCGTTCTATCTAACGAAGCTGCATTTTCAATTGTCCTTTGAATAATGTTCTCGTGTGTTGAGAGATGTATACAGATCATGTATTCATATAGCTATTTATGATATGTCTCGATGTTCAAGTCGATGCATATAACATACTGAAATAAAAAAAAAGTTTGAAATACTTCTACACACAATAAATGTAATAATCATGTGTATACATGTATGTGTTTACATGTACATGCACTTCAATGATTAAAACACGATGTCCTGACGCCGATAGCCATGGCTTAGTCTAGAGTTTATCGTACCTTCTGTTTATCAACCTTGAACTGTTAGTAGATCAGCTACCTAACACGCTGATGTGAGAGCCACTGGGGATGTGGGGGTTTGAGTGTAAGGCTACCTGACAACTTCCTCGTCGTACTTCAGGCTACAGACGTGTGTAATATGTAGCCCGGCGCTGCACATGTCAGTGCAGCGCATGTGTGCATCACGTAGTTAAGTAAGATAATCTGTACTCAATATGTAATTGCTGGATTCATTCTACAACGACATTTCCTTTGCATTTGTAAGATGTTGTAGTGGATTTACGATACTTCTGTGTTATTACATATGAACTGAATTGACCTCGATGGTACTAACCAGGCAATATACCCGGCGTTTTAATCTGTAAATAGGACGGTGACCGATCCCGGCGTATTTACTGTTTATGTAGGACTCGGCTATCCATACAGGCCTTATGTAGGCGACGGACTAACGCAACCTTATAGCTACATCTGTTAGACACTGGTGCCAAGCAAGGTGACATTTGATTAGCTCACGAGATCAGGCGGTCACGTGATTGGTCAGATTGTTGATGGGCAATTGATCAGACGTGCATCGAGGAATCATTCGTTGGTTACAGATAAATAACACACACTACTACAAGCTGTACGACGTCGACGGTATCGACCCTCTGACCGAGTTGTAACTGTTTATGTGGTAGGCTAGAATTATCATATGTTTTGGTCTACTTTTAAATTCTTATCTCGGTAACGTCACGTGATTGTCCGTATGCGCTTGTGGTGGGACTTATTGATATATTCCCTCATACTGGAGCGTAAATGTGGTAGATTATCCGTTGATCGCAACCGTCGTTCTTTTCTTTTACTGATTGAACACACGCGCACGTGCCTAACGTCATAATGACGTCATTTACAGGACTAGGTTGTATGTCGGGGTCATCCCTTGATGGACTGGATTTATGTCACGTGGAGTTCACCGGGGATATTGAGACAGATATTTGGGGGTACCACATCCTGGATGCTTCCACGGTATCCTACAGTCCGGAACTAACCGAGCGTCTCAGGAACGCCGCCAAACTGTCAGGGGAGGAGCTTATCAAACTGCACATGGAGTACGGGCACTATCTTGGCGCGACCATCAAAGACTTCCTTGGAAACAAACACGTAGACTTTATAGCTTCCCATGGTCATACAGTATTCCACCAACCTCACCTAGGATACACGTTCCAGCTTGGAGACGGGGAGACAACTTCCACCTACCTTAACAGTCCATTCGTGTGCAACTTTCGGAATAAGGATATTGCTCTTGGAGGACAAGGCGCGCCTTTGGTTCCTAATGGGGAGAAATTCCTGTTCAGTGCCAACGATATTTGTATTAATCTCGGGGGTATCGCTAACATAGGCCTAAAGGGCCAGCGAGGGTATGACGTCTGTCCGTGTAACTATGTCCTAAACAAGCTAGCCAGAATGCTTGACCCTTCACTTTACCAGGACACAGACGGAAATATAGCCTCCAAAGGGCTTGTTATTCCTGGGGTACTAGACCGTTTGGAATCTCTGGCGTTCTACAGCAAGGAACCACCGAAATCACTGGGGGCAGAGTGGATAGAGAACCACATCGACCCCATTCTAGACGTATGTATAACGTTCAAGTAATTGTAAACTATTCTTAAATATAACAAGGATAAATTTGATAAAAGTACAGTAGCTATAACACTTATATATACTTTAGCTTAATCCATACATAACGCTTGACTGACCTAACACTGTCCTTTTGACTCCAACTTTACACCTTACTTTTGCTCCAAATTTACACTGTACCTTCTTTAACTCAATATACACAACCCGTGTACACTTCCTTAACTCAATTTGTTCAGTCAAGTTTGACTTATATTACACCACTCTATGATTCTAACTTTACACCACCTTTTGGTGTCAGATATACACTACCTTTTTCTTTATTTTAATCTGCACACTGCCATTTACTCCACATATATCTATATATTATTTTGTGACTCCATCTAACACGAATCATTGACTCCACGAATGTATACAGTATTCTAAATAATGTATATCTCGTTGGCTCAATGTATATCATAAGTACTCTCCCAGTGACGCAATTAATACACAAGCTTTTACTCCGATTGTACACAAATCTTGACATCACAACCCCTTGTCTCCAACTTTACACAACCTTGATTCCAACTTTACACAACTATTGACTTCACTGCCCTTTGACTCCAACTTTACCACCCCTGCAGGTAGGGGATCGGGAAAAGAATACACTTGTTGTAACCCAATGCATTTGTATAGTAGGAGCCGACTAATGTAGGAACCCCCTTGCAGAATTGGGGATTTGCTTTGGTGTCCTCTATTTGGGGACACAAAAGCGACCAAAATAAATCTGCTGCACCCATTGCAATATTTGGGATATTTATCTTTCTTTCGACTTCTAACAATATTTCATTTCCTGACGCCTTGCTTGGCAACACCTCACTTTTGGCCTTATTGTTGAGCGTTCGCCCAGTTGAGGAAGGCAATGGGTTATGTCCCCAGGCCGGGACATACCAAAGTCCTTAAAAAGGGTAGTTGTTTTTCCCTGCTTTACGTTCAGTTAGGGGAATGACAACAACTGGTTCACCCGTTGTCAGTATAATTTGACCGGGCGGAATGTTGTGCTTGGTGCCTTCGGCATGGTATTTCAGTGAGATAGCACTATAAAGTCGGCATCAGATCCGCGCTATTAGAAGGAGGCAAGAACACCAACATACTCTAAATCCCGCATACACACACGCATGACGGCATGCCCTTAAATGAACTTAGCTGTTAATAGAACGTTAAACAAAATTAAACCAAACTGAAACAAGACTCCAACTTTACACAACCCTTGACTTCACTACCCTTTGACTCCAACTTTACACAACCCTTGACTTCACTTCCCTTTGACTCCAACTTTACACAACCTCAGACTTCACTACCCTTTGACTCCAACTTTACACAACCCTTGACTTCACTACCCCTTGTCTCCAACTTTTCACAACCCTTGACTTCACTACCCTTTGACTCCAAATTTACACAACCCTGGACTTCACTACCCTTTGACTCCAACTTTACACAACCATTGACTGCACTTCCCTTTGACTCAAACTTTACACAACCATTGACTGCATTTCCCTTTGACTCAAACTTTACAAAACCCTTGACTTCACTACCCTTTGACTCCAACTTTACACAACACTTGACTGCATTACCCTTTGCCTCCAACTTTACACAACGCTTGACTGCACTACCCCTTGTCTCCAACTTTACACAACCTTTGACTTCACTACCCTTAGCCTCCAATTTTACACAACTCTTGACTGCACTACCCTTTGCCTCAAACTTTACACAACCCTTGATTGCATTACCCTTTGACTCCAACTTTACACAACCCTTGACTTCACTACCCCTTGTCTCCAACTTTACACAACCCTTGACTTCACTACCCTTAGCCTCCAATTTTACACAACCCTTGACTGCACTACCCTTTGTCTCCAACTGTACACAACCCTTGATTTCACTACCCTTTGCCTCCAGTTTTACACAACCCATGACTGCACTACTCCTTGCCTCCAACTTTACACAACACTTGACTGCGTTACCCTTTGCCTCCAACTTTTCACAACCCTTGACTTCGCTACCCTTTGACTCAAACTTAACACAATCATTGACCTCACTACCCTTTGAATTCAACTTTACACAACCCTTGACTTCGCTACCCTTTGACTCCAACTTTACAGAACCCTTGACTTCACTACCCTTTGACTCCAACTAAACACAAGCATTGACTTCACTACCCTTTTACTCCAACTTTACACAACCTCAGACTTCACTACCCTTTGCCTCCAACTTTACACAACCCTTGACTTCACTACCCGTTGACTCCAACTTTTCACAACCCTTGACTTCACTACCCGTTGACTCCAACTTTACACACACCCCAGACTTCACTACCCTTTGACTCCAACTAAACACAAGCATTGACTTCACTACCCTTTTACTCCAACTTTACACAACCTCAGACTTCACTACCCTTTGCCTCCAACTTTACACAACCCTTGACTTCACTACCCGTTGACTCCAACTTTACACAACCCTTGACTTCACTACCCCTTGTCTCCATCTTTTCACAACCCTTGACTTCACTACCCTTTGACTCCAACTTTACACAACCATTGACTGCCCTTCCCCTTTGCCTCCAACTTTACACAACCCTTGACTGCACTACCCTTTGACTCCAACTTTACACAACCCTTGACTTCACTACCTTTTGACTCAAACTTTACACAACTCTTGACTGCACTACCCTTTGCCTCCAACTTTACACAACCCTTGACTTCACTACCCTTTGACTCCAACTATTCACAACCCTTGACTTCACTTCCCTTTGACTCCAACTTTACACAACCCTTGACTTCACTACCCTTTTACTCCAACTTTACACAACCCTTGACTTCACTACCCTTTGACTCCAACTTTACACAACCCTTGACTTCACTACCCTTTGACTCAAACTTAATACAACCCTTTACTGCGTTACCCTTTGCCTCCAATTTTTCACAACCCTTGACTGCACTACCCTTTGACTCCAACTTTACACAACCCTTGACCTCACTACCCTTTGCCTCCATCTTTACACAACCGTTGATTTCACTACCCTTTGACTCCAACTTTACACAACCCTTGACTTCACTACCCTTCGACTCCAACTGTACACAACCCTTGACTTCGCTACCTTTTGTCTCCAACTTTACACAACCCTTGACTGCACTTCCCTTTGACTCCAACTTTACACAACCCTTGACTTCAATTAATTCCCTTTGACACCAACTTTTCACAACCCTTGACTTCCCTACCCTTTGACTCCAACTCTACACAACCCTTGACTTCACATACCATTGACTCAAACTTTACACAACCCTTGACTTCCCTACCCTTTGACTCAAACTTTACACAACCCTTGACTTCCATACCCTTTGACTCCAACTCTACACAACCCTTGACTTCACTTCCCTTTGACTCAAACTTTACACAACAACCCTTGACTTCACTTAATTCCCTTTGACACCAACTTTTCACAACACTTGACTTCCCTACCCTTTGACTCCAACTCTACACAACCCTTGACTTCACATCCCATTGACTCAAACTTTACACAACCCTTTGGTTCAACAAATATATACTTTCTTTGACTCAATATATACGCTCCAAGTGACTCCATTTATGCATAACCCTGAATTAATTCAAATAGACTCCATATAATCACATGTACACAAATGTCTGACTCCATCAGTTCATTACCCTTCGACTTAATTGATATTTCATTTCATAACTGCAGCCATACAGTATCTTGTGGCTCCATTTTTATACCTTACCATCTTATTCAAGTAAAGTGTAAATGTGCCGTTTGACTTCGTTTATACTTTTATCTTTTAAAGTTTGGCCTATATAGTGTTGTACCAAAGGCAAAATAGTCCCCTTTCACAATACCCGCTGCACAAAAGTATTCAGAGTTGTCTTTCCTGATTTTAAATCAAAACGGAGCTATCAAACCCGGGAAATATGCTATTTCCTAGTTTAAAATGGTATGACAACCTTACTCAACTTCCTGAGCTGCGCTTTTCTATCACTATATATATTGACGTCACTATGCCTATCTCAAAGCCAGATGTTACCGGATCTGCATGCATGATATAATAATATGTGTTTTCATTTTGTATTCCAGCAAAGTCTGTATTCCATTCCTGATCTCATGAGGACGTTTGTTGAACACGTCGTTAGGAGACTGAAGGACGCATGCGTACAGACCTCACCCAAACTGTCGTCTGATGTCGTGGTTACCCTGGTAACCGGAGGGGGGGCATTCAACAAATACCTTATGAATGAGTTCAGGGAGAAATTACGTGGGACAAAAATAGAATTGGAAAAGGTTGATGATGAGACTATTTGTTTCAAAGAAGCATTGATTTTTGCCTTTCTTGGTCTACGTTGTATTCTTGGGGAGGAAAATGTATTCAGTTGTGTAACCGGAAGTCGATGTGACTCGGTTTCCGGAAGTATCCACAGACCGTTGTCATCAGATGGCGTACCAGCAAAGTTTAAACAATGTTATTTTGAGTTCAAAAGATCTTCGCCACACAATACGACCATGTGATTTAGACATGTCTGTAAAAGGTTTATTATTCAGAACCACAATTAGATAGAGCTTTACCAGTAATCCAAATATTGTAGCTTCCGTTTGATAGTGATATAATTATAAAGTTGTTTTTCTGTTGACGTTCATTAAAGTAGTTTGATTGGCTACATATATGCTAGTCTTTATATCTCGTTGTTGATCATTAAAATGTTTGTTTCCGCTTTTTGTATTGTGTTTTGGGACTTTTATTTGAAACTCTGAATGATTAAAATACAGTCCTTGGTCCTGGATTTTTTCAAACATACAGAGTGTCAAAGGACTATATATAGGTTTGGGCCTTTTTTGGCCCCAAAATCCAGCGAAATTAAAAATCTTCAATATAACTTTCAAATCACTGTTTCTTTAATTTTGAATGCTTCCCCGGTACTATCACGTAAAAATGTATTTGTGTTTTGAATTATGGCTGCCATGGTAACCAGTTAATGTTTGCATAAATTAATGAAATTTGAGTATTCAGTTAATTTTGACATGTTTTCGACTAGTTTTTCTCTTAACAACCATAGAGCGCACTCTTGAACAAACTTTATATTTCCCCTAAAGATGTATTACAGGTGCCTACACATTAGAAAGGAACAGTTGTTTGAAAGATCATTTAAAGGTTTTGAATTTTGTTGCATTTGGGGGCAAAACACGCCTAAACTATGCATAGTCCTTTCACAGAACCTCCATTCAATATTCTAGTACATAAAAAGAGAAAAAATCGATATTGAATTGAGCTGTTCGAAAGACCTGAAGCTCTAGCACTCAAAATCACGATGTGTGCGTACCTGCATTCACTGATACACCGTCACTGTAAAATTCTGTACTTTTGTGAAGCCCCTGATTATAACGACGATCTATATTATTTAGCATTACAATACTCAACGTAACCACAGATTACATGCTAAAATAGAAATATAATAAATATACATTTTTTTAAGCTACTCTCAAGCGCTCACAGTACATAGATATACAATGTATTTTATCAATACAATATTGAGGAACTAGCAGGAGCTGACTTATCAGACGCTAACTACTGGTCCTATGCCACCTGGCTAATACCCTATTGTGTATGCCTGCGTGTGCCCTGGAGACGTATTGTTTTCAGTTTGTAATGGGACCGTGCTTCCAAAGTTATCCGTTATAGTGCCACCTCACATGAATGCTACAGCACAGATGCCACAACATCCACACTAGAACATTTTATACTCCACCTGGGTTGTTGGAGTTGTGAGGGCAGGGATGGACACTTTCTCTGAATATTCTATGTGTGTGACGACTTCAAGGATATAACTGAAATCCGTACACGACCATTTTGTCTATTCGTTTCAGATTATCCCACGGTACACAAAGGGTTCCTCCGGACTTCAGTACATGTCTCACGAAGTGTGTTATGGCACCACATCATCTCTCTCTCTAAAGTAAACCATTTGAAAAAACCCTCTAAAGTCCTGTTTTTTGCCATGTAACTTGTTTGGGCGACGTGATAAAACGTTTGTTCAAATGCATCACCTCTATCAAATACTGGTATGTTAGAAACTTCAAAAACAAGATCGTCTGAAGATTCATAAGGTCTATAGACAATGAATTCGGCCTGTAAGACGGTTTTTTAAAGAGCTATCGAGTATGTTCGAATGATTGGGGTAAAACGTACAAATATCTTCATACAGCTTATTCTAATGAACCATGAAGCCAAACGTATTGACAGTTTGACGTGACTTGCTATGGTGAAATCTGCCGAGATAGATTTCATGGTCTCAAACTAATGTTTCCATTTCTTATATCTCGCTCAATGATACATGCCTCATGGGCCTTTTTTATATTTTACACTCTGTATTTCCATGTGAAGTTTGTAGGTCCGTGTCACTTGATGACAGCCTTTTCCCAAACATCCAGACACGACAGTTTCTGTCACTTCACTCAGCGATTTAAAGGTTATACTCACATACAGTATAGGACATGTTTTATAATTATGTAAACACGTTCGATTGCTTTAGTATTGTGCATTTCCTGTTCACGTATTTGAACTTCTCCGACATTGATATTTTACGTAGTAAGGCTTCCCGTACCACTTCCAAAAACTGTAATGATGCATCTTCCCTTCATAAATAAGCCTTCGATAAATCAGTTCTGAAAAGAAAACCATACCTTGCAGGACTTTTAAGAAATATGATAAAGATGAAATAAACATAACATAATCAACAACAGTGTTTTGAGTGTAAAGCGTTAAGCGGCTTAGAACGGATTCGAACTCCGTAACTGTGCTACAGTTATATCCAAAACAAAATCAATGTGAGGTTGTTATCATTATTATTGTCATCAATGCTTAACGACCCATCAACACAGGAAAGGTCATTGGGGCCAACAAAGAAAAACGACAGAAACAAAATCTACACTATATACACATTTGGGACTCTGAGGATTTACCACGGCCCGACCATTCCAGAGGAATGCCCGAAGGCGGACACCTGTATACCAAATCCCCAGGAGGGAATGCACAACGGTGCAAACCTAACATTTGCGTCCTGGCCAAAGGACAATGCTGCTTGTTCTGAACCTCTACCTTTCAACCTGTCAGGCTTGGGTGACCCTACCATGAGCACAAAGCCCCGACCAGCACAGCTATCTAGGCCAGGTCATTAAGGTTGTCATCCCCTCACCACGGAAAGGTGCAGCGACTAGGAGGCAATGGGAGGTTACTGTATAAATAAACGTGTGCGCTATCAGTTTGTGTACTGAGACAACGTGGTGTTGACAGTGTAAAGTGCGTAGCACTCGTTGTCTATCACAAATGAATAAAAAAACAGCCTGTAAAATATATACATTTATGTCAGTCTATGCAACATACAGATTACCCATAGAAAAACAAGTCATACAACAACATTGAATTAAGTTTCGTTTATGTCATATGGAGACTCACAAAACATAGACATGTCTGATTTACAGTTTACACAGATCCCGTTATGTTCCGTCTTGACGGTTCGCTTGATCAAAAGAGTTTTAAGCTAGGCGACAAAGTTAAGATTTTGTTTTAAGTTATTTTCCCCTCATTAAATATCGTTTCTTATACCGAACTATGTACCAAAAGTTAATTCTTAGTTGACATAATCTTCTTTAAAATGTCAGCTTTATCCGGACGCATCATATGGTAGTCGAGTTGAAGCATGGTTTCATGGAATGAATTTATATTGGTACATTGTTTTGTATAATTAATTAATAACTGATCTCTTCTTTTGAATTCTATAATTTCTGTCCCTGCTGACCGTCGAACCCCTTTGGCTAAATCTACACATGTAGATTATTATGTAAGAGTGTCTATCACAAACACTATGATAACAATATTTACAACTTCAACTATCTGAAATCAATACTTCCGCTTCTTTCTTTCTATCCATTATGAGTTGCTTGTAGTTAAATATGTGAATTTTCCTGTCATCACATGCAATCCACAATTGGTCCTTGACGAGGAGCACTGACCTCGGCGACGTCAGCAAATGCTGCTGTGGCGCAACTAACATGCTTACTAACCTGCCCTCTTGGTCCTGGAGGTAAATTGCATTGTTTTTGTGGTCAACTATGATGACCCTTCCTTCGTCATCAATACACGCATCGAGTGGTCTGCAGGCAGCTGACGGGTCGTATCCAAATATACCCGCGATAGGGTAGCATTCTGGATTTGGATTTGATTCGGTTTCATTAAGCACGTGCACACTTTCTATTAGTGGGAAATATGACATTTTGATGTAATACAATCGCCCAGAAATATCTTTCCGGAAACGGACAAAGGACAGATCAATATCCTCGACACGCATGTCCTTGACCTTCATTTCGTAGTTATTGAACTCAGCCAGAACCACGGGATGATGCCCCTCCTCCTGCATGACAACCTGCACGCTCCCTGTGCTGGACACGAACACGCAATGTGGTTGGCAGGGACACATGTTCGCGAACACGCGGGACGCTCCGTCAGGGAGCACCTGGTGAACACAAGTGTCCTCGTTGTTGATTACGAGAACTGTTCCGTCTTTCATCATCGCAATGTCCTTTATATCCGACATAAACAGCTTACATTTGTTTAGATTCGTCTTGTAGAATGATTTCCCGCTTTTTACAAATACTTCATCCGAACCAGCAACCGGAAACATTTCGTCAATGCACACAGCATCATCTACGTCTAGAACAGCTACACATGCGCCCTTGTTTTCATTGACTCTTCCCGTTAACGATATGACATTGTTATTCATACTTTCCATCAAAGATATATCTTTCATGCTTTCACTATTTTTTTGTTTGATTGAGCCAAACAGGGTTTTTAGTATGGATATGTCATGATCAGAAGATTTATCAGCGTCTGTGTATGTCAATTCAACACATGGGGTTGTCGGCCATTTAGACATTTGTGATATCATTGACAGCGCCCTCTGCAGTTTCATCTCCAACATAACCACCTGCACGTTCTTGGCTTCGTTCTGCTCTGAATCACAAGCTGCGGGATATTCCAAAGCAGCGGCCAGCACTTCAGACAATAAAGTTTGTAAACCATTAAGATAGTGATGCCGACCTTGGGAAAACTCCCGTAAATGTTTTATGTAGCTTTCCTTCAGACTAACCAACTCCTTTTCCAGGAATGAAGCTCTGTTAGAGATTTGTCCAAGAACTACATCGTGGTTCTTGGTCTCCAGACCCATATTTTCCTGTATGAATGCGAGGTTTGTCTGTAACAGAGATACAAGCGAATCCCTACCTTCCTCTACGATTTCGTCCAGTTGTATGCGTTTGGATTTGGCCACGTCGTGAAGCTTGGCGAAGTCATGTTTTTTGTGATTATCTACTAAACAATCCGAACAGAGGAAACACTCACAATCGTTACAGAACAGACTGATGTTCCTGGAACCACATCCACACGCTGTGTCGATAGTATCTGCCATGTTTGTGAAAAACCTGACCAATATAACCTGGATAATGAAATTACGTATTTCTTAACGTCAGAATTACATGTGACATGCGCTCTAATCGTTTCCATTTGAAACCGTCTTTGTTGATGAACACTCTATGGGAGCTCCTACACCCTCATTGACAGTGTTAGTATTGCTACAAAACATGGTATTTAGCGAATGAAAACATATTTAATACGTTCTCCTATATCAAATGTTATTAATCCCGATTGTTAGCCCGGAGTTAAGCGCGCATTGGGTTGAGGGTGTCTTTATGACACTTACGTGCTGGACAGGTGACCCCGTGACTGAAGTTTTCAGGTCCGATCGGGAAATCCAACCCTGTCCCGCCAAAATCAGCTCATTACCCAAGTGTAAATAACATGGCTAACGTGAGTAATGGGCTGGTTAAGGGATGGTTTTAGCACATAGGTTGGACGCAAGTAAGATAATGGCTTTTGTGATTAAAAAATTCCAAGTGTTTCCACTACCACTGTACCTACAAAACTCACGTACATGTGAAAAGCCCGTGTGGTCCAAAGTGTTACACGTTTCGTAGCTCAATCGCCTCAAAGTATCTGGTGTACCTTTCCAAGCTGTGAATTGAAAGTAGATAACTTGTTTCTTTAACTTTATTGAAAGTGAATGGAATTTACAATAAGAGTCGTCTTTCATTATTGCTATTTGCGGATTAGAGGACAAAAGAAATGGATTACATTACGATCAGCGGTCCCTTACAAAAGGCCAATCAGTATTGTTGTCTCAAAGTATCAGGTATACGTACTACCCCGCACACCGCCGTATTTTGTTTTTTATATCCTGTCTGTGTCTACTGAATATTTCATGAAGAATGGAAGACATCGTCGACAACAATAAACAGTAATTCCAAAGTGTTTACGATTGTGTAACTTTTAAAATATCAAAGGATCGTCTAAAACAGTGTAAACAATAGAGGTGATTTAGGATGGTACATTGTCGGCTATCGATACCCATATATAAACAATGGAGCTTTGAATTTTTGAAAACCACTGTTAATTGCATCGCTGGAGAAATTGGAAAAAATTCGGAACATAAGTTTAAACTACACAATGTACTACGAAAGGTCGGTTACAATACAATGTTATACAATGTACTACGAAAGGTCGGTTACAATACAATGTTATACAGTGTATAACTTGTGCACGTGCTTCAGTTTGCAATCGACTGCGTGAAATAAAAAGTTCAACTCTAAATAATTACGAAAACACAAAATAGCCAAAGGCACCCATTTGCATTATGATTAACTTATATGACAACTTAAAAGGCCAAATATGCGACGTTTTTTAACTATGCTCCAGAAACTTTAATATACACTTAAATGTACATATATATTTTCGATACTTTTCCAGTTTCTAATCAGAAATCAAATTTGTAACGATTTCTTGATATGCTCCGAAAACTGTAATAAACTTTTTAAACATTTCAAGAGTCTTTTATACAACACTGTAAATACCAAGGGACAGCCCGCTGCGTTTGACTCATATGTATATGCTCCGGAACCGCCGGATGGTACTAGGACGGACGCATGGCTGAAAATCGTTGAACAGAACAGACAATGTTTTCGTGAACACCGGATATTGATTTACATAATATATAATTGCTATCCATTAATATATCATATTTTATATCCAAACTACCATGGAATGCATAAAACGTCATCTAATGCTGGAATAGCAGGCCCACTGTTGTATTATCAAACACACGAAAAATCCGGAATCCTTACCCGTGCTCCAAACTAGTGAATCTCAGTAATAGCACGGATTTAGATAGCAATAGCAAATGTCTAATTCCGTGGTAATATGTGAGTATGAAATCTAATATTAACGGTAATATAAACTACATTGTATCATAAGTATATTGTTATATACATGTGATCATTTTTGCAACATTTATCACGCACACCTGTCACTTAATTTTTTGAACATGATTTACCTGTGTTACTGATCTTACAGTAATGAGTCATACCACGGACTTAGATTCCGTGGTCATACAAATTAGTAATGAAGGTATATATGATGTTGTACGCGGTCTAATTTTGATAAAATGCAATTAAAATTATTACGGATACGTGTACATTTGTAAAAGAATATTAAGTCAGGAACATGCCTGATCCTGCATCAGCTTAACAAAGCATATTTCAAATACATTTTCTGTCTACTTAAAGTACGTTTTCTTTCTCTTAAAGTACTATACACTTTATCAGTTGCTATCTATGATGTACAATTGTTCAAAACCATACCGATTCAGATTTAATCAGTTTTGTTTTATTTGAGAACCTTCCAAGATTAAATAAGCTGAAGCTGTGATTAAGCTAACAATGCTTTTGACACAGCGAATGATTTTGCATTAGATCTAATATCCAATACAACTTTGCGCAATATTAGAACTAGCTGTACGTGTACACACAACATAAATTGGTAGGCTTCCATCGTGCTATATACATTTATAACTCAACCAATAGTTATATCGATTTAATTTCCCTTACTTTCACTTTCTACTTATATTTTATTTAATACATTTTCTGATGACGTAGACATATCGTGTGCACATATCGTGTGCGTGTATATAGAAGAAAGCAATGGCTGACTTCGATACTATTTACGAAGAGGATGACGAGGAAGGGCCTCCCAGCGACAGTCGGGAGTTAGTAGTCCCCGATCCGATACTCGTAAGGGGAGCAGGGAATGTGACGATGTAAGTTTTGATCCAAGGTGGGTCATTTTCACTTCCGATTTACTGTGGATCGGTTTAAGTGATAGACCATATGACCACTTGTCGACTGTTTGTGTTGTCATTGTGTCAGCGTAAACGGATGTGCGTGCTGTTTCGACAGACCGACGCTATAAAAAATTCAATGAAGAAAATATCGCTAAATCATAATTTAGTGACCTCATCAATTGGGGATAAGAACAATCTTTATTTTTAGTGCCTGTTGTTCTTGACAGCTAAAACATAATAAACAGCACACAGTGGCACTTCTTATCTAAATTAGACTGACAAATTAAGAAAAAACATAGGCCTGCACTACAGTACAGTAGGTAAGGCCTAGTCAAAGTTCGCAGCTGTTGGAAATGAAAAAAACCCACACTGAGTTTATTTGCCATCAAATTTAACATGAAATAAATAGTGAAATTTATAAAGTAATTTTATTTTATTATAAATATGTACTGTACACAATATTGTTACATGATGGGTGATGCAGTGGATTAAACTTTTACCAACATAGCCGGGGTTCGATTCCATGATTTTCCATGAAATTTAAGGTATGGGGTCACTTCCCCAATTTTTTGGGTTTTCTGCAGGTACTCTGGTTTCCCCTCACATTAAGACCCCCCCCCCCCCCCCGCACACTTACATCTAGGTCAAGAAGAGTAATAATATAAGTTGATATAAAAGTCTTTCATAACTGTTGTAAAATTATTAAAGTTTACTCTTTTGTATAATTACCGTCTCATGATTTTGTGCTTTCAAAAACTTTAATCCGTAGAATACTAGTCGTTTTGGGAGTTTCGAAGACGTTTCAGGACATACGCAAGATGTTTCGGGACTTAATCAAGTTGTTTCAGATCATGCATATACATTTTTTAATTTCCGTAATTCTCCAAAGGCCAGTGTTATGTTATCATTATGTCCTTTTCAATGTTTCTCTGTAACAATGTCATCTATATATTTATATATATACACGTCTTTGTGAAGAAGAACTTTGAAACCTCGGATCGGCGCCAAATGGCTACAGATTATATGAGTTACTTCCCTTGCATTGCCTTGCATTGACTCATCATCATGAAGGCCTCCGTAATTAGATTTGTGCATTACAGTACGTTGCATTTGTACAATAAACTTGAAGATTTACATATAATTAGGTAATAGTTTCCTCTATGAACAGAAGAAAAAAGTGAAATATATATCCCGAAACAACTTCAGACATATCCCCGAAACAACCTGAAAAAAGTCCCGAAACGACTTTCGTCTTGTTACCAAAAAATGGCAAAATGACCTGACACCACTACGTACAGCAATCAAACCTGGCAAAAACAATCATCAAGTCGCTAGTACAGGATAATGCCTTGTTTGATGAAACATTTGAACATCTTGTGTTAATTAGTAAATTCTAAATAATTCTAACATTGATAATGTTATTTTTATTTGAAACTTGATATTTTTTTTCAAAGTCTTGTATTGTATGTTCAAAATCCTGTGAATCCAGCGATTTTCATTTGAAAACTAGTGACTTAATGTTTTAAAAAATGTGTGATATAATCCAAATCTTGTGATTCTTGTTCGAAAAATGCTGTGATTGATTTTGGAAATTTTTTATGATTTATATTCTAAGACCTGTGATTTATATTGAAAATCGTGTAATCTATATTAATTCGGACACAAAAATTCAAATAAAATTTGCAGCTTGAAGACACTGCATTATCTAGAGACATTTAAAAATAAAACAAACTTATAATATCTACATTCTGAACAAATCTAAAAAAAACTATAGTGAACAGGAACAGTAAGTAACTTAAAGGGACATCACGTGAAAAGTGGTTTTTTTTTTAATGAATGTATGTATTGTATGCACTTCCACTTATGTTACCTCGCTATCCCCATATTCATAGTCCGTTCCAAATGTCCAGTTTGACCACTTGAATTGTTCGGGAAAGCCCGGCTAAAAATAGCGCCGATAACGTCACCTGATTAGGCAGCAAACACAAGTGGTGCGAGCGAGATGAAACGGTTTACAAAGGGGCCCTCAGAGAGGGGCCGTCAGGCAACTGCAACTTCTTACCGCACTATGAAACCAAGTTATATGATTTCTAATTCCGTATTCAAACTTATTGAACAGTAATTATTCATCATCAGAAGTTAATTGCACACTTGCCAATATTAAGAATTTAAATTTATTTAGCTTTTAACATAAATTTGTTGCCAATAAAATTAAACAAAGGATGGGGCACAAGTTTTTACAATTTATCACAGCCTTCTCCCGTGACCGGTACAGGTGGTACGGGGCTAAACACTCCCTCAACAATGGGACAAACCTTTCTGTAAAAAGGAATATTCACGAGACGAATATCCCTTTTCAAATGTTTACATAAAGTGCATATATGCAATGACAAACTACACGCGAATATAAAAAGGAAACGTTTGTGAATTTATTTATTACATTAAACAACTCAATGTCTTTGGCCATTTTTTTTCTAGACCATGAATATAAATCTATGTATACTCTCTTTCCCACTTTCACTGTCTCCAAACGCTAACATTTAGGAAGTCATATTAACCATCACACACAATAAACTGTATGGCAAAACCACTACGTGTACATGTAGAATATGTGTCAATAAGGAACGTGTTGAGATACTTGATAATTATATTTTTTCAATACTTTACAGAGATTAAAGCATACTTTTAAATGGACCTTTTTATGCTGAGACAACTTTTCTTTAATCAGTTCCTTTGGTCCGAAACAGAAGCCGTAGTTATCGGCAGCACGCGCCATTTTTATAACGTAATCAAATATTTTTTCCCCTGTTTTCAATACGTATTCCGATTCTATCTGAAGTCGAAAATTTATTCTTTATAGAGAAAAGGTTGTTACATGATCATACATTCTAAGTCAACATCATATGAAAACATGAACTGTTGAAAAATTACGATTTAAAAAAAAAGTGTTATGCGATCCTATTTACTAGAAGTAGGTTCTCCTTCCTCAGTTATTCATCCTGGTCCGTCATTTTGACATTTTTAATCTAGCTGCGATAACGTAGCTTTCTGACGAAGAGCGATTTTTTTTTTATATATTGCGTCGTCGCGCCAGGGCAGGCCGGGTATTATATTAGTACTAATTTAAAACTTGCATGTCAAAACAAAAAACAATCGTTTAATTCAGCAATATAATTAAATCATACCATTTTACTGATCCCGGTAATATTATAAATTATGTAAATCTAATAGCGCACGTATCTCATTTGACCCCGAGCACCGACAGAGGATCAGAGAACAGAATACGCCGTGGCCATCACAGCAGTTATCCCTTGGGGGGCCTCATGGCAAAATCAAACTAACCAGTCACTTATCCCTTTCGTTTGCATAAACCACTGTATAATTATAAAAAACACAAAGTAAACTCTCTCCGATACATGCCCATTAACATATTAAACTAAGTTCATCTGTGTTCAAACTCACACAATGATACTAGCGAGGTTAATAGTTTTAGATATTTATTCATAACATAAACAGCGCTAGCATTTCTGTCGATTTTATTTCAGCTTAACCGGCCGCTATCCGGAAGAAAACATGCACCGTACTGACTGCTAGGGCAGTTATTTTCTGCTTTGAATACTTCCCACTGGCAATAATGATTCCGTAACGTACCCCTTGCGCTATCTTTTGACCATTTGGCAACTATTCGCTTCGTAGCTGACACGGTACAACCCTTTTCTTTGGCTTACTTCACACGGCCAGTCATTTTGTTTACAAAGAAATGGTGTGCTATGCGCATGCGCTAGTAGAGGGAAATCCCTGAACAAAACGTTGGTCAGACAGGTAGAAATACCGATGATTATCTTAGATTTAATCATTTTTATGAATCTATTTCAGCCAAATCCGATCGGCATTTTCCATAAGGAGTCTCACTTGATATGTTTATGTGGTATTTGGAAAAAAGACAAAAAAAGAAGTTACTTCAGCGTGATGCCCCTTTAAAGGTGTTGTATTATTAAAGAAAAAATATAATTACACAGCTAGGATGGACCTCCATGATGATGTTTAAACAGACTCACACAAATACCACGTGTACAAACTCGTGTGACATGAGTCATGCAAATTTATTTTACCTACCTGTAAGCATTGTATCATCTCAAAATTAGCATCAAAGGTTCCTACTGAACCTATAAGATAATTATTCACCTATATAAACTTCATTTCTAAACATTTTATTTTGTTGCCTGTAATTGCCAGGATTTACCTGTTCTTATAATCTGAAAAAATGAAGCATTGCAAAACCCTTAATTATAGGCCTGTTAATTTAGTACAATTTATTATTATGTGGTTTTGCTTAATTATTTGAGATGCCAGATTGTGGTTTGTAGTTCTTCACTTAATTTTTCCACTGTCACATTACAATCATATGGATGGATGGAATTAACTGATAAGTTATCATAACAAGACTGATCTAAACATACAGTATGGGTGTTTGTCCGAACAATAGGCTATTGCATATAAATAAATACAAACTTAATGTCTTTTACAACAATTATGAAACAAAGCCCTGATGTTAGGGCTCTTGAGGTCTTAATGTGGTAGGAAACTGGCATACCAAGAGAAAAACCTACATGGTGGAGCAGGTGGACCCATACTTTTTTTCACAACTGATCGGGGAATTGAACCCCGGCTGCCTGGGTGGAAGGCTTTTTATCCACTGCGCCACCCGACCACCTGGGTTTTAGGCTATTGTCATTGGGTCTATAGGGACAAGTGTCTGTTATATAGGAGGATTACCTCTGGTTACCAGTTGAACTTGTCAGTATATTATTATTGGTTGTGTTAAAGTACAACACAGAGAATGCTTTTAAAGGTTAACTTTAAAGCGTGAATGAATGCTTACACTGCCACGATTGAAAGTAGGAATGCAAGAACTGTTTTGGAAAAACCCACCAGAGGAGCAGTCGTTGTTTCTGGTGAAATTGGAAGACTATAGTGCATATACCCACTTGTAAAATCAACTTTGGAACCCTGAAGGCATTTGCGTAAAGATATCCTAGCCCTGCTTGTACCTGAGCTTGAATTGGGTGCTGCAACAGTGCTCTAGACAGAGCAGCACAAGCAGTTGGTGAATATGCTGTGATATTGATGAAAGAAAAGAATATTGACCGAGATCTCACCCTTTGGTTAATAGCACAGAACTCAATGAGTAGGAAGTATATTTGTTTTATTATACATGTATAGGTCTCATAAGTTATAACAACAGTATAATCCAATTTGTTTTATTATATGATATTTATAAAGTAATTAAATAAAAAGATAAGATACATAGAATTTGATAATCACGGGAATTAGATTGGACAGAAAAAAATATGGTTTTGCGATTTTATAATCGTCAGATTATGGGAAAATCCATTGATTATGGCATATTATTTTACAATCTGATAAAACCTTTCCCAGCCAATCAGAAGCATTTTATTTATAAACCATATAATAATGATAAGGATTATAACTTTTGTGGACATGTATATTTCTAAAATGATAAGGATTATAACTTGTGTGGACATTTCTAAAATGATAAGGATTATAACTTGTGTGGACATTCCTGTAATGATAAGGATTACAACTTGTGGGGACATTCCTATAACGATAAGGATTATAACTTGTTTGAACATTCCTGTAATAATAAGGATTATAACTTGTGTGGACAGTCCTGTAATGATAAGGATTATTACTTGTGGGGACATTCCTATAACGATAAGGATTATAACTTGTTTGAACATTCCTGTAATAATAAGGATTATAACTTGTGGGGACATTCACGTAATGATAAGGATTATAACTTGTGGTGACATTCCTGTTATGATAAGGATTATAACTTGTGATAAGGATTATAACTTGTGATAAGGATTATAACTTGTGGTGACATTCCTGTTATGATAAGGATTATAACTTGTGATAAGGATTATAACTTGTGTGGCCATTCCTGTAATGATACAGATTATAACTTTTGGGGACATTCCTGTAATGATGAGGATTATAACTTGTGTGGACATTCCAGTAATGATAAGGATTATAACTGGTGTGGACATTCCTGTAATGATACAGATTATAACTTTTGGGGATTTTTTTGTAATGATAAGGATTATAACCTGTGGGGACATTCCTGTAATGATGAGGATTATAACTTGTGTGGACAGTCCTGTAATGATAAGGATTATATCTTGTGTGGACATTCCTGTAATGATACGGATTATAACTTGTGTGGACAGTCCTGTAATGATAAGGATTATAATTTGTTTGGACATTCCTATAATGATAAGGATTATAACTTTTGGGGACATTTTTGTAACGATAAGGATTATAACTTGTTTGAACATTCCTGTAATAATAAGGATTATAACTTGTGTGGCCATTCCTGTAATGATACAGATTATAACTTTAGGGGACATTTTTGTAATGATAAGGATTATTAATGATAAGGATTATAACTTTTGTGGACATTCCTGTAATGATACAGATTATAACTTTTGGGGATTTTTTTGTAATGATAAGGATTATAACTTGTGATAAGGATTATAACTTGTGTTGACATTCCTGTAATGATACGGATTATAACTTGTGGGGACATTCCTATAACGATAAGGATTATAACTTGTTTGGACACTTCTGTAATGATAAGGATTATAATTTGTTTGGACATTCCTATAATGATAAGGATTATAACTTTTGTGGACATTCCTGTAATGATACAGATTATAACTTTTGGGGACATTTTTGTAATGATAAGGATTATAACTTGTTTGGACATTTCTGTAATGATAAGGATTATAACTTGTGTGGACATTCCTGTAATGATAAGGATTTTTAACTTTTGGGGACATTCCTGTAATGATAAGGATTATAACTTGTGGGAACATTCCTGTAATGATAAGGATTATAACTTGTGGGAACATTCCTGTAATGATACGGATTATAACTTGTGGGGACATTCCTGTAATGATAAGGATTATAATTTTTTGGAACATTCCTATAATGATAAGGATTATAACTTATTGGAACATCCCTGTAATGATAAGGATTATAACTTGTGTGGACATTCCTGTAATAATAAGGATTATAACTTATTGGAACATTCCTATAATGATAAGGGTTATAACTTGTTGATACATTCCTATAGGAATAATAAAGATTATAAGTTATCGGAATATTAATATTCCTATAATGTTAATCTTCACTGTTAGGGTTATTCCCACAAGACAGAACTACACTTTTGCAGCATCAGCAGCTTGTGTCAGCATAAACAATACAGTTGAAAAGCTGCCATGTCTAATTCATCAACTGATCAGAAGTAGAAAGTGTGTTGGCAATCTGTTGATATGTACTCTGTGTGCACAGCAGACAAGCACTGTCTGCCAATGTGGTTATCATGCATGCTGCACATGATTCACATGTACACAATTTATAACCAGACAGCCCTACTCTGTCATTTACCATGACAAGTACTTGTAGATTGATCCTAAACAATTTCTTCAGTGCATTGGTTAATTGACTGAAAAGCTATGGTAATTTTAGGGAAGAGTTTTAAGGAGATGACACAAATTAATTTATTTTAAAAGGCTTTCTTTTAAACTGCTAAAAAATGGTGCCTATAAGAACCCCATTGTAAATATGATCTTCAATCGTTGATTATGTTATGTTATTTGAAACAAAACACTTACAGATGATATTACGTAAAAATTGACTGATTTTTTTAAAATGAAACAATAATGAAGTTGTATCAATGATAAATGTAGACTGATATATATAATAACAAAATCAAAAAAAACAAAACAAGTTTCAGGTTGTCCGAAGCTTTTGTATGGGTAAGAAACAAATGACATGCATGTATTAACTTGCATGTTAAAGACTCTTAGCCAAAGTTTATTGATGTAATCTAGATTGTTTCACTTTCATCAAGTAACCACAAAAGATGTTTGAGTGATGAAATACATTTCAGTTTACAGTAATGCACTATAAGTCTATTTTTAAATACATATTAAAGGCTGGAGTAAAACATATTACAAATCTGAGTACCTGTGCATCTACATGTACATATTTATGCAAATTTATTGTCAGATTGATGGAATACAAATGTGAGAATTTCTGTTGTAAAATTTGTTGTTGACAGTCTCGTTGCCAAAAGGAAACAATGTTTATATACCTATTAAGATATCATGCTGGTGCATTATATATACATATATGTATACCTGAAAACTTTAATTCAATACACATTCCATTTAAGTATGCTTATAGATGGTCCATTAAATCAACTCTCAGTATAAAAGATTACTGCCTCACATACCTCTCTGGCTGCTCTCGTTTAGGTCCATATTTGTGACTGTTAGTGCATTAAATTGCAGTCTACATGCTGTGAAGTTCTTTTGTTGAAAATTTGATTAAATAAACCAGTGTTGTCTTTTAAATGTTGTCTGAAGACATTTGATGAAGATTTTCATATGAATGTATGATGATGACTGTACATTAACCTGTCTGTATTCCAAAGGTCAAGGTCACAGGGGTTAAATGTCAAACCATTTTAAAGTTTATAATTATGTAGATGGACAATAACTTCTGAATAGTTCAATATTTTTAGTTTTGTTCACTTTCACAGAAGTTAAAGGCCACAAGAAGAGAAACCAATTTTTCAACGAATGTATATATTTCTGGATATTTACCCCAGATGATGTAAGTCTATCACAGATGTGAATAGAGTTCTCAATGATAGTCCAAACTCTATGTTTAAAATAAAGTTGTTTCTCATCTCAGGACCATCATTCCTGAAGCCAAATCTGACTTTTGCAATGATAAGGTTACTGTCACCTTCACCACCAGGTCAAAGGTCACAGGTCATGTGTGTCATAATTAGCGATACATTTTAAGGGAAGGCAAAAACAAATATGAAGATAATCATGTATAGTTTAGTAATGTCCTTTATCTTTTAGTTTGAATTTCATGTGCTGCAGCTTCTAAATTAAATCTGTGTGTACCATATATGGATGTGCCTCATCATAATACAAACCATTTTGTTACCTTGTCAAAAATTTAATACATTCTATGTTGTATTGTCAAAATATTAAACATTATCACAATTTTAGAATAAAAAAATACAGCAGTATTTATATAGGTGAGTCTAAATATTACAATTTATAAAGTTAACTTTTTTTCCAGATTTGGTCTCAGTAATAGATTTGATACAGAATTCCCCACCAGTCTTTCAGCCAAGGTATTTGATATATATATCATCTTTAAGTGAACAATGTTTTGTTTGTTTTTACTACATGTACATGTATCTTCTATCAAAAATCATTCAAAATAAGTAAGACTGTAAAAAATATGTACTATTCCAGATTCATCTCCTACTCTCCTCTACAATATTTTTTTTGAGCTTTTGGATTACTAGGAATTGTAAAGATTTCAAATTACAATTTTGGCAACATAAAAAAATTGCCTAGAATATAAAGTTTAACAGTGTACATTTCAGAATTGAATTAAAACAATTTATCCGAAACTGAATTGAAAAACAGATGAATACATGTCCTTTAGACTTTTTGATTTAGTTCTACCCTATGATAAAACTATATGTCTGCTGTTTGTGGCCACAGGTTGCTCCTGAAGAGTACAAGGCCACAGTGGTACGGCTGAACAGTGTGTTAAAGAAAGCTCTGCCAGTAAATGTCAAGTGGCTGTTCTGTGGCTGTATATGTTGCTGCTGTACCCTGGGGTGTTCCCTGTGGCCTGTTGTCTGTCTCAGTAAGAGGGTAGGTAACTCTACTGTCTATCCATATTAGTAAGGTAGGTAACTCTTCTGTCTATCTATATTAGCAAGGTAGGTAACTCTTGCTTTGGATTATGGCTGCGGTACCCTGGGATGCTCCCTGTGGCCTGTTGTCTGTCTCAGTAAGAGGGTAGGTAACTCTACTGTCTATCCATATTAGTAAGGTAGGTAACTCTTCTGTCTAGCTATATTAGCAAGGTAGGTAACTCTTGCTTTGGATTATGGCTGCAGTACCCTGGGATGCTCCCTGTGGCCTGTTGTCTGTCACAGTAAGAGGGTAGGTAACTCTACTGTCTATCCCTATTAGCAAGGTAGGTTACTTTTGCTGTGGATCCATATTAGCAAGGTAGGTAACTCTTGCTTTGGATTATGGCTGCGGTACCCTGGGATGCTCCCTGTGGCCTGTTGTCTGTCACAGTAAGAGGGTAGGTAACTCTACTGTCTATCCATATTAGCAAGGTAGGTAACTCTTGCTGTGGATCAAGGTTTCAAAACGTTTACTTGATAGGTGATGATACCATCGTGTTGATCATACAAATTACACAGGTTTGTGTTTGATACAACATTCTTTAAACAAAGGATTACATACAGCATAGCTTGAAAGACGATTAATTCAACTTTATAGCAAGATAGTGGCATTATATACATATGGAGTTCACAACGATTGACAATTCTTTAACATATTCATATTTATTTTTTTAATTTTCAAAATGACATGAGTTCAACAAAGGGCCATTTTGAAATTTGAAAATAAAAAAAAAAGCGAGGGTAAGTCAACTGTGTAGGTATATCTTAAGACATGTAGCAGGAAAGAGACGATGAAATTCAACATGACGATGAGATTTAAGAGATGGTTAAATACACCTGATTTTATTGTTGGTTTCTTTCTTTCAGACAAGACATGCAATAGAGAAAGTACTTGACTGGGAAAACACACGTTTATATCACAAAGTAAGTGAAGACGGAAAACATGTTTATTTTACAAACTAAGTAGCTTTGGCTTTGGTCATCTTTTTTTTTTTTTAAATTGATACCACACAAAATGCAACTTTATTACTGTGGTTTGAATACACAATTTAAATGCCTTTTGAAAAAATCTTTATACAGTATACTTGAATAAGTACATTTCTTTACAATCAATTCCTAATAATTGTGTGTTGTTCACAGCTGGGCCTGCACTGGCGACTAAGTAAGCAGCGCTGTGATTCTAGCAGTATGATGGAATATGTAAGTCTCTGCATCATTTTTAGCTCACCTTGCACGAAATGCCAAGTGAGCTTATGCCGTGGCGCAGCGTCTGTCGGTCGTCCGTCCGTCCGTCTGTCGGTCCGTCGTCCGTCGACAATATTTTACTTTAAACGACTTCTTCTTTATAACCGAAAGGCCTAAGGTGTCGATATTTGGCCAGAAGCAAACTTGGATGAAGGGCTAATAAGTTTGTTGAAATTAATGACCTTCACCTATTTTCAAGGTCACAGGGGTCAAATATGTCAAAAACTTTAAACATCTTCTTCTCAATAACCAAAATGCCCAGGGAGATGATATTTGGCCAGTAGCATGCTTGGGTGAAGGGCTAACAAGTTTGTTCAAATGAATGACCTTCACCCTATTCAAGGTCACAGGGGTCAAATATGTTAAAAACTTTAAACAACTTCTTTTGAATAACCAAAATGCCCAGGGTAATGATATTTGGCCAGTAGCATGCTGAGATGAAGGGCTACAAAGTTTGTTCAAATGCATGACCTTCACCCATATTCAAGGTCACATGGGTCAGATATGTTAAAAACTTTAAACAACTTCTACTGAATAACCAAAATGCCCAGGGTGATGATATTTAGTCAGTAGCATACTAGGATCAAGGGCTACCAAGTTTGTTTAAATGTATGACCTTGAATCATATTCAAGGTCACAAGGAGCAAATATGTTCAAAATATTTCAACAACTTGTTCTGAATAACCAAAAGGCTCAGGATGTTGATATTTAGTCAGTAGCATATGCTGGGATCAAGGACTACTTTGTTTGTTAAAGTGAATGACTTTGACTTATATTCAAGGTCACAGGTGTCAAATTTGTTTAAAATCTTTAAACAACCTCTTCTGAATAACCATGGGTCCCAGGATGTTTATACTTTGCAAGTTGCATCCTGAGATGAAAGACTATACAATGTGTTCAACATAATGACTTTGTTCGACTTTCAATCACAGGGGTGAAATGTTTAAAAAAAAAATAACAGGGTCTTTTGAATGAATTTTAATCATAAATACTGATATTTTGCCAGTAGCTTTATTTTAGATCACTTTTAAGGTTACAAGTGTGAGTTTTATACTAGGTGAGCGATGCAGGCCCATTGGGCCTCTTGTTATATGTTTCGAAGCTTATTATCCCCAAACAATGAAGTATGGAGTTAGCAACTCATCGTTCCCTTTCATGGCTAAAGACAAACCAAAATAGAGATTTACAATTATGATGATTCCCAGGGTTGTAGGTGGGATACAAATGAAGAAAATTGGTTAAAATTCCTAAAATATTTTTCAAAACTATCTGTAAGAATCAAATACTCTTCATGGATAGAAAGGTCCTAGGTGTTTTATTGATTAGTATAGTTTGTATGTAGGGAAATGATATTGGGTTTATTGTGTTTGATTTCAGTAAAATATAGTTTGAACTACATTGGAATTACTACATACATTCTATGTGATAAGAGTTTGTTGGTATGGAAATTAAACAACGTTTTGCTCAAGGATTTTATGATTGCTGTATGTTATAATTAAATGATATTAGATAATCAGCTTTTTTACAAGGTCACCATTTTTTCGATACATTTACTATCTTATTTTGTATCTGTTAATGATAATTTCCATATCGCGTTGCAACAATATACAACACTGTTGAACAATATACAACACTGTTCAACAATAAACAACACTGTTCAACAATATACAACACTGTTCAAACTCAGGAGATCGTTAAGAACAATGGTCCTTTGCTAATGAAATATTGTTTTTAAGTTATTTTGATAAAAGTTTTATCATATTAATCAATTATTAAATCAGTTGTGATGTTTTGTACTTTGAGTATAACAGTTCCTCACACTAAAAGCAGAAAATCTTGACAACTACTTTTAAAGACTTGTTTATGGAAAATTGCAAAAAAGTGCTTGAATCTTGTTCTGAAAGTCTGTAGAAACTATGAAAAGTAATAGTGTTATGTGCATTCTTATCGTCAATCTGCAAAGGTTGGAAAGCAAATAATTCATTTTGTATGATCTAAAAATAATAAGATAATTATACGAGAATAGAATATGACAAGAGAAACTAGACTATGTTAGGGAAATATTTGTGATGTTTTCTTTCTACTTGGTAGGCAAAAAATATCATATATATATGTATCAGATACATATAAAATGACTACATTTTTCTGTAAATGAGTGTATTTTTCATCTGTGTTATCATATAATTGGTGTGTGTGTGTGTGTTATTTTCCATGTATATATTATGAGTTATCGTTATGTGTGGTAAATATTGAGTATTATGTTGTGTTTCAGGTGCTGCTGGTCGAGTTCCTACCAAAGATCCCTATATTTCGGCCAGACTAACGCAAGGCCTGTCCTCCAATCCCTGCCATATTTTGCTGCCACAAATGATGTGTATATTTTAGCAAGCATTATCATCGTCATCCTAGTCCATGACCTCATTGTGACATCTAGACGTCACATTTCACTTGTAGTTTACGTCTGGGTGTAGTGAGTTGTAGAATGCTGATGACTGACGACAAAGTACTGGGTGTGTATGTTAGTATTTACTTGATTTTTGTCGGTTCTTGTATTCTTATTCTTGCAATTGGTCCATAATGTGTGAGAAATTATAGTTCTGTATCATATTTATCTTAGAGAAAAGTTTACATATATCATTTGTGTTTTGGATGGGGGGGGGGGGGGGGGGGGACTTAAATTTGTTATTAAATTATTTGGAATTTTTCTTTTCCAAAGTAATGAAAATTATATATGAGGGGTGGATCTTTCTAGAGGAATTTTCTTGGCTGCAGGACTGCCACCAACAACCCTCAGCCCCCACCCCACACATCAGACTGGGACTTTGCATGAAAAAAAACATGTGCAAGCATTTCCTCTACTTGGCAACGCAGAAGAAAATTAGAAATCCCTTAGATTGGATCGACAACTAGAACACTTCATTGAATGATAAATAGATTTAATGAAAAAAATGTGATAACATGAATGTATGTGCATGGGTCGGTTGAAATTTGATTTCAATATTTGTGCATTTTTGCATTTGGTCAAAAAACATATTTTACTTGATGGTATATAGTTTTCATCAGTGATGCTTGGCTACAGTCATATGTATACCTGCGTCATTTTGTGACATGTTTAATTAAAAATGAAAATGTTGATTAATTTATGACTTGTTAGTGACAATGAATTCTTATTAGTCTGTGTGTTGTAGTTGTCTGTCTGGCTCTTAACACATCTATACTCCAGACTTATGAGAGATCTTGTCTTGATGTTTAACATGAGAAAAGTACATGTGTCTTGACAGTTTAGTAAACTTGTACTGAACAACTTATTTTTTTCGGAAAATCAGAATGTATAAATATATATGATTCATTTATTTTTAAGAATGCACAATGTGAATATTGAAATGCTTTCTTTGCAAAGGTATATGAAATGAATTGTCTCAAAATATTTCTTGATCATAATGGCAAAATTTCAGGATTTATTTTATGTAATTAACCAATACTATCGTTAGGTATGGAAGTTTTACAAACGATTTTTCCCAGGCATAATTTTAAGGATGTTAATTTGCTAAGTATAAGAAGTGGGTGAAGCTAGTTGTTGAACAAATACTGAGCAAAAAATTCTGTTTATATACCAGGTAAATTAGAACTACATTTTTGAAGACCAAGCTAGACTTGGTTCTGCAAAGGTGATCTAACATTTAATATTAACTTTGATTTCAAATCTTTTTGCATAGTTATGCAATATAATACAAAACAATACATAATTATTAAAGTGAAATTGGATTTGGAAATAAGTTTTACAAATTACATCAATCCATTTAGGACAATACATTAAAAGTTGGAGTTACTAAAATTCCATAATACTTCGCACATGGTGGGTCTGTACTACTTCACATTGTACTTCAATAAAACTGGTAGATAGCTGACAATGACCAAATGTTAATCATGTTCAACATCATATTGGCTCTACTATAACAGGCCACACAATAATTTCTCGTTAACATTACCCTGATAACAATATAATGTTTACAGGAGATATCGTTTTGAAGATGATCAAGTAAAAAGACCCAAAAGAATGAAATTGACCCCTGTTAATTTGTTGATAACTGATGTACACATATAGAGAAATGATACAGTGTATTTACTTGTGACTTGCCATTATATTTGGTCACATCTTATTCTCAGGGTCAGGTAAGCTGTATTTGTAGCTGGTGGTTCAATAGTCTAATGAAGCACCACTGATTTCCACAGCTTTGTTGACTGAAAATCTAGAACAAATTGAATTTACTGGGATCAATATTACCATGTTTGTTTTTAATATTGTCTGAGGTTTGAGATACTGCTGCCGATTAACCTTTCCTAGAATTTCTTCAGTATTGTGTTGGATCTCTATCTCTAGTCAAATATGTACTGAACTACCATGGTCTGACTGAGCATCAACAGTACATGTATGTAATTTCAGACTATACATGATAAACCCACGATGAAAGTGAAATGATAAATATGTGATGCATTTGACATCATAATCAAATGACACATTCAAAAGATAAAATTTGTAATGAATTTGTGCAGGGAATATGGAATTTTACAATTTTCCAGTGTCAGTGTTCTGGTAGTTCCCTGGAGTCGGTAGCCTTCCGTGGATGGATTCCTGATGGAATTCAGTACCAGTACATGTACATGAAGTACTGTAATCAGAATTCAACGTAAAGATGCCTTGACAACATCCACAGGAAGGTAATCAGCAATTTGTATTGTGATGTTAACAGTTTCAACAAACTAGGTGTCGGTGGAATGTCCAGTCGTCTTTACTTTGAATTTTGATAGTTATAGGTAATTCTTGTTCCATACCAGCAACAAGTGATGTCGCACACACAACCAATGGGACAATTTTTCTGTTATTTCATCGTCAGGAAGAAGCATTAGACTGACTCAGTGTTATCATGTTTTACAGACAATACTGTCCTGATCCCAGCCATCCATTGCCTTGCCTTACTGGTATTTCCTCGCTGTACATAACGTGATTTCATGTATAATTTGGATTGATACAATACAGAGGTTACAATTAAAGTATAACGGAAAAAAATCATGCACATTACAATTGTAAAGTTTAAAATATAGATTTTTCTGGTTAAGTAGAAAGATGTGACTTGAGCAAAAAGTTTGGTTTTGAATATTTTACTTTTTGTTATTTGAGCAAGATTAACATATTTTGATCTTGAGTTCAATGTTTAGTAATTCCAACAAAAAGGCAATCGGAATATCCTAACACAAATGCTAGTTACCTCCACGTTGTTGGTATATGCTTTGTGAAATATTTTACCTCAAAATGCATGTCAATTTGTATGGTTGCTAAATCGGCTATTTGTTGTTGAGAAATACAAGTTGTAAATTACAATTATAAAAAATATAAGTCTTGTTTGTTGTATTGAATTCTTGAATTATTTTTTAAAGATTAAAATACATAATTGTTTATACTGTCTCAGGTTATATGACAATTAAGAAATAGCTAAAATGTGTTTTTGATTTTTTTTGGGATTTGTGACTTTTAGTTTTGGCTTTGTATATATGTGTGTCTATTGTTTTGTGTTTATATAATGTTGATTGCAGAGATGACCTGTAGATATGTGTGTATAGTGTTTTGTGTGTATATAATGTTGATAGCGGAGAGGACCTGAGGTCTATAGCTCTCTGATCATCCACTTAAAGCAGCTGTGTTAATATTAAACATCATTTATGATGAAGGGGACCCAACATGATTGTTCAGGATAAGCATTGTTGTATTAGATATTTCAATGATTTAAGTAATATATTATCTGGAAGTTCACATAGATTTTTTGTTTTCATTACAAAATAATTGTATGATTGTTACAAGTAGTGCAATGTAGTAAAAACAACTGTGAGTACTGAAACTGATAGTGAAAATACCTGTGAATGATAGAGTTCACTGACTCTCATTCATTTAGTAGCTTTTACAGTGTATTACAGTACACCCTTGTGTGCCACTAGTCTTGGTTAGCGACAGTAGTTAGTTAATTGTTATATCATATGGAGATATTCCAGAGACACTGTTATAGTTCTAGTTCATTTTTATCAGTGTTTGATTTACAGAATGGAAAGGGACCAACATTGATGGAAAAGAAAACAGTTCCTTTGCTACTAAAGAGATGATGTGGGTGCTTGTTTGCTTGTGTCAGAAATATGTTTATCGAATGTGTGTAAACCGTTACATTGAGCGAACATTCTACAAATTCAGTTTCGTGATTCAGATATTTCAAAACGTATATAACAAAATCTAAATTGAAAACAAATTTCAACACAAATGTATTAGTCAGATTTAGTTTCTGTAATAACAAAATGAAAGTTTGACATGCAAACTGATCATATGATGATAAGTGTATAGTGTGTGGGAACTGTGTATTTTTTTTTCATAATTCAGAAATATTAAAAAAAACTACTGGGAGTGTTAAATCTCAATGTGTAACGAGCACAGCCGGAAAAAGTACATATGATGTATGTTTATTGTCTTGTAAGCATGCAGTAGTATAGATGTGTGCTGGGTGTTTGTCACCATTATTGTTGATGCTTAATAATTTACAGGTATATATACATGTATACATTTAACTTTATTCATCTGTATTTTTCTTAAAACATCTCAAGGAATGGGTACAAATGGTGACTGGTTTGAAAATAATGGGAATAATTTTATGAATGAGATCCACTTTGGTATGAATAATATATGCTATAAGTTAGGTTTGTATGCAAAAAATAATTGAGAACTTATTACCCTAAGGGGCGGAATGTGTAAACAGGGTCCCCGTGACTGCCTGCAGTATTAGAAATGGATCAATGTAATGGTCATTTGCACTCTTTGCTTGACAATGGAAACATAAGTGTTCCCGTAACTCACAGCTGACGTACGCGTTGATACAATTATAAGGAGGCAAAGCAAAAGAAAATATAAATATATATATTGTTTATTAATCAGTCAATAAACTGTCTTCATTTGGTTGTCGACCAGAAGTGCATTACAATTGGCCAAAACACATGATGGTTGGTTAATGAAAGCTGGGCATTGATTGGTCATTGGGACGTCGAAATGGGTTGGCCGATACATAGTACAAACTTCCATTCCACCTCTTTCTTGGATGTGTGCTTATAATAGTTTCTATATTGTAAGTCTGGACACTGTGTAGCTGTATTGTTTGTGTTTGGTTGGATTTTACAGGGATTTATATTTGAGCATTTATTGTGATCCCACTACAGTATTATTGAGTTTGAATGTCAGTGGTGCTTTTGATAATTTGATGTGAGTTTAATCATGATTTTGTTTGTAAAAGAAAAGAAGAATAGCTTTTAAGTTTCCCAGTAGGAAAACGTGAAATTTAATGCATTTGTTTACACATGATGATGAACTACACACAGACGTCCGTGTAAAATGTGTGCTTATGGATTAATGTATGTAGCAGTGACTTAAAAAAAAAACCAACATATTTATGTATTTCTTTCACGTCACTTATCATACAATTCGGTGATCAAGAATAAAAATATGAGTTCATACTCAAAACGACCCGAAAATAAATCATCATGTAAAATTTCCGTAGAACCGGATAATAAAGTAATACATATTTTTTTAATTTTCATTTTGTCTTATATTTATCAAAAACTGTTTCCATCCAAAGTGAAAAAACTATGTATATGTTTTATCCATTATAGTTAGGTAAATGAAGCATTATTTTATCATTTTGTGTAGATATTATAAATTATAGTAATTGATTTGATGTTCACTTGGTAAGAAACAGGTGGGATAGTTTAGGGAAAGTTGGGAGAAAGGAAATACCAATATTTACGTATTAGTTGTTTTTGTAAAGTTTGGAGTCGGATCATACCCATGAATGTGTATTATTTTTGAATGAGTGGTCGTTTTAGGATATACTACCAAAACAACGTACACGCATACTATTGTGGTGTGCCCTAGCGATGCAATACAGTATAATGCAAATCTTTGAAATTTTGATACTGGAATTTCCTACCTTAAATGCAAAAAGTATTTGATGTGAAAAGATCACTACATAATGACAAAAAACACTCGCCATTATGTCATTTTTTTATCCTTTTTTTTAAAAACTTTTTTCACTGAAGTGTAAAAAACGTTTTTTGTACTTCAGAGAAAGAAGTCGTTTTTGCACTTCAGAGAATAAAACAGGTAAGGTTGGGAGGCTGGAGAAAACTGTGTATGCTGTTTGAAAAAGTCTAGAGACGAGAGAAAATCTTGTTTGTTCTGTGGTTAGGTTGAGAGACAACTCGGATTCGTGGGAAGGTTCAGAGACAGGAGATAACCCGAAGTACTAATTATAAAGGTGGTTAATAGATCTAGAGATGTGTGAGTAGTTTGTGAGAGGGGACATAACTCTGTGTCTTGTCTTAGACGTTAGATTGTTCTATATATGTGTATTAGTTGTGTGGTTTGATTGGGAGGCAGTGAACAATACTGTTCGTTATGTAGATATATAGGTTTTAAGACGAGGGCTAACTGTGTGTGCTGCCTAGGTAGCTTGGGAGTGGGAGGCAAATATACCTATTTATATGTTTTGTTGTGTAGGTCGGGAGACGGGATGATTATGTAAGTTGTGTTAGTAGGTAGATTGAGAGTGTTTTGTATTATTAGTTCACACATTCCAATGCAAGGTATTCATTTTCACATACATTCAACAAAATATTGAATGTTAGAATGCACGTGTTTGTCATATAAGGTATTATGTCAAATATGAGAATTATTGTCTTTTTATTCAATATAAGAAAGTTGCTGATCATGATTTTTTTTCAAATAAAATGTGAAAATAACCAAAATGTTTGCTAAATTTTATGAAAAGAAGTTTGGTGTCACATATTGCGTAAACCGACAAAAATTCATCATGAATGGTAAGTAATGGCTCCATATCGCTATGGTTCCATGTTATATACTAGACTTAAATTGTTGATAAAAAAAAACAACCCAAAATACCGGACAAGTTGATATACTCGGTATTTAAAAAACAATAGATCCCAGAGGGATCTTGCCGCCCACCATTGTACCATCTTCATTAGTTCTTGATCAGTTTGGTTTTTTTTTCTTCTCTTACCTGTTTGATCGAGTCATGTTTACAGTAAATACACCTAGAGGTAACTTTTGATCTGAACTTAATGCTGCTGTGTATACAAGACAACCTTCAAAGTCAGTTTGTCGATTTACATATTTACTGGAAATAGAACCAATCATTTACAATATGAGAAAGCTCTGTTGATTTGTTCCTTCAGCCCTCTTGATTTTTATAATCTCCTCAAAATACAACATAGTTTTACAACTAAGGATCAAGGGGAACTTGCCAGGGACGTATAGTGAAGGGGATTAGCAACTCCCTCTCTGCCTTACCAATTTTATGACAGGTCAATCTAGACTTACCTCCCCCTGATTCCGGAGCACATAGCGAGCGCCACCTTTCTCAATTTTGACAAAGCAAGATGGCGTCGATACCGCTTCGTTAGATGCAGAAGTTGGTGTGAAAACGAACCAATCTCGATAAGTGATCTTATGTCTTTTGTTTATCCCATTGTAATAAGCTGATTGTATTACTTTTAATTGATAAAATCTGTGGTATCATAGTAATTGATGTCTCGTTTTTGGGGTATATTTTTCTATTTTTAAACGCGATGTAACGCGTGGTTCAGAGTATTGTGGTTGGCGTCGATAGACAAAAATGCGGGATAAAAAAAAAACCACATGTATGTGAACCTCCTCACTCCAAAAGTATTTGACCGATCTTTTTTAAATTATCAGCAATAGAAAGCTGAATAAATTTTATGACGACCCAACCCATTTTAATTGCAAATAACATAATTTAACTTGTGTTATTTTTGTGTCAAAAATACTAAATATAAGCATTATTTTTCACTGGAACGTAAATCATTATTGCGAAATTAGTTGGTGACTGCTCACTGTTATGATTAATTTTTATAAACTATCGATTATATTTTTGAAAACAATTAATATCAATAAACAGCCGAGTAATTTCTATGTTAAGTAGGCCTGAATTGATTTGCATTACTTGGAACGATAGCGATGTCACAGATGAAATTACTCGTCTGGTAACGAAGGACACGTGTTGTTAAAAACCCTAAACAAAATTGCAGGATAAAAAAAACCCACATGTATGTGAACCACCTCACTCCAAAAGTATTTGACCGATCTTTTTTAAATTATCAGCAATAGAAAGCTGAATAATTTTTATAACGACCCAACCCATTTTGATTGCAATTAATATAATTTAACTTATGTTATTTTTGTGTCAAAAAGTGTAAATATCAGCAATTTTTTTCACTGGAACGTAAATCATGGCGAAAGTAGTTGGTAACTGCTCACTGTTTTGATTAATTTTATAAACTATCGTTTGTATTTTTTAAAACAGTTAATATCAATAAACAGCCGAGTAATTTCTATGTTAAGTAGGCCTGATTTGATTTGCATTATTTGAAACGATAGCGATGTCACAGATGAAATTACTCGTCTGATAACGAAGGACACGTGTTGTTAAAAACCGTAAACAACCGGAAATGTTAAACGCAACAAAAAAAGTATCGCCTGCATTCGAGGATCAACTCATTTAAAAAATACTTCTTTTTGAAATTTACAGCGATAGAAAGATGAATATTTTTTTGATATGTAGTATTAATTTTTATGGAAAAAAAATAACATATAACTTGTGCTGTTTTTGTGTCAATATTAGCATTATTTTCACTGGAACGTGCTTTACGAAATGTGATTTGTTGTTATAGCCACCAACACAGCCGAAAGACTAGACATAGTGGCAACGATAGCCCTATCCCTGGAATAAAAAGAAGACCTTCTAATACACAGTCCCAATTAGGGCTACCCGTTATCAAAACACTTCGATCTCGGCGAGATTGTGACATGACACCGAAAGCAGGTGCGTGCTTAATTTTAACGCTAGTGCGCAAGCGCAGGCTGATCGAGAGGGGCTCTCGATGACTTCGCGGTTCGGTGAACAAACACAAAAGCGACGTGCTATAGAATCTTGACTGGGGCAGAGTTGCCAATCCCCTCTATATACTGTCCCTGGAACTTGCATATCAAACTTGTGAATGATCCATCAAGTACTTCCTGAGATATAGCACTAGCAAACCTTCAAAGTCACCTGTTGGCCATTATGTCTATCCAATCGATCTCAAAAATGAATATGCACAATAAAGGATCATGGGGAACCTACATCTAATCTGAATAAGATTCTTTGAGCATTTCCTGAGAAACATGCATCATTAACAAACCTAAACTGTCAAAATCCAAGATGGCTGCATGTCGGCCATTTTGTTTATTCAATCAGTGTCAAAAGTAAACATGCAAAACTAGGGACCATGGGCAACCTTCATATCAAATTTCAGAAACATCCCTGAAGCACTTCTTGAGAAATAATGATAAAAAACCTTAACTGTCAAAATCCAAGATGGCTGCCTGTCGGCCATTTTGTGTATCTGATCAGTCACAATTAAGGACTAAGGGGAACCTTCAAATCAAAGTGTATAAATATCCCTCATGCACTTCCCGAGAAATAGTGATAACATACCTTTAATGTCTAAATCCAAGATGGCTTCCTGTTGGCCATTTTGTTTTTCCGATCAGTCACAAAAGTATACATGCGCAACTAAAGACTAAAGGGAACCTCCATATCAAATTTGAGAGTCGTCCCTCAAGTACTTCCTGTGAAATAGCCATAACAATCCTTCACTGTCAAAATCCAAGATGGCTGCCTGTCGGCCATTTTGTTTATCCAATCAGTCTCAAAAGTAAACATGCACAACAAGAGACCAAGGGGAACCTTCGCATCAAATTTGAGAAACATCCCTCAAGCACTTATTGAGTAATAGCGATAACAAACCTTAACTGTCAAAATCCAATATGGCTGCCTGTCGGCCATTTTGTTTATCCGATCAGTCTCAAAAGTAAACATGCACAACTAAGGACCAAGGGGAACCTTCATATCAAATTTGTGAATGATCCTTTCAGTTCTTGCAGAGAAATAGCCATAACAAGAATTATTTAAGGACGGACGATGGACCACGGACAAATGGCGATTTGAATAGCCTACCATCATCTGATAGAGGCTAAAACAACCTTGACCTTTGACTTTTATTGGTTTTCCTGAATGTAAATACAATGTTGAGAACAACGGGTCTAGAAAACACTGGAATTTGTTAAAACCTCGAAGATAATAATTACAATAAAGACAAGACAGTGACATGTGCTTAGTTTTAATTTGCTTTCTTTTGTCAAAGTACAAGGAGAAGAATAACACTAGATGATCTGTAATTAAGGTTTAGCGTCTTCCGAAAATCATGGTCAAGTCCAAGTAATATTATATCCTCATAGCGAGAACCAGTAATGTTATATCCTCATAGCGAGAACCAGTAATGTTATATCCCCATAGCGAGAACCAGTAATGCTATATCCTCATAGCGAGATCCAGTAATGTTATATCCCCATAGCGAGAACCAGTAATGCTATATCCTCATAGCGAGATCCAGTAATGTTATATCCCCATAGCGAGAACCAGTAATGCTATATCCTCATAGCGAGAACCAGTAATGTTATATCCCCATAGCGAGAACCAGTAATGCACACTCACACAAGCAAAAAACATAGTTCCAATTAGATGATGATGGTGACATGTAGACACTGTGGTTTGGGTAGCAGGGATGTTTCTATCAAGGAAGAGGAAGTTCATAAACAGAAAATTGAAATAGTGCTAATCGTGTAGTCTTCATTACCTTTATGACAATATTTTCAGATGCAGTTGCATTTTTTAAAGATTATAATTTCAGCACGTGGAATGGCTAGATTCGAATGGTTGGAAAAGGCAAGACATGTTGAATGTTATAGAAAGATTTTGTCCATAACTTAAATATAGTAGAGATGTGTAAAAAAAAGAACATTATAGCTGTATTTCAAAGATAAAAAACGATGACACTGGTGTGTTCTTCAGGAGCTACATGATCCACATCGTCTACAGGAGCAGGTAAGCGGGAAGACATCATGTCGGAAGGCAAAGTATCCCGCCCAGTTGACAACTTCACGCTTATTCGGGTCATTGTCCATCACATCCATGTCGAAGTCATCCGTGTTCATTTCATCAGGGGCTGTCGTTATGGCGGGAAGGACAGGGCTGTCGTTTTTCCAGTAGAACGCATCGCAGTAAATCAGGTATTTCTTACTTGTGAAGACACTTGGTTGACACCCCGTTTTGGCTCCACAGCACTCCCGTCTGTAATAATAATTTAGCGAATGTTTAATACACAAACATATATTGTGTCGGTGTCATGTACTCGGTAGGAAACAGCTATTTTACATTTATCTTATATATATATAATACTAACAGGGAAAATATATACCTTCAAACGAAGATTTAGTATTGCAGGGACAATATAAATCAAGGTTCCAGATATTTTTTAAAACTAGTTGAGATGATGAAAATCGATTCTGTAACATCCCAATCTCTGCTTACTCCTCAGATTGGATTATGTTACAAAATCTTAGGCCTAGACTGAGATAACTACTTCTCGCCAAGTTACAAGTTATAGTGTTCATTAACCTTATTATCCAAATAATTTTCGCAAATGTACAGCCTTGTTTTAATTGTGGTATTCTTCAGTTATCTTTTCTTCTTACCCATTACAAAACGCCTTTTTGATATTCTGAGCCTCTGGTCTTACAACTAAACACAAAATATGCCCGTCGTCCCTCCAAAATCCGAGAACTTCTCTTGTTTCTGTTTCGCAGATGGGGCTGCCTCTGGAATGTACCAAACATTCGAATGATTACGTTACTGATGTGACGTCATCATTAACATCATTTTATTGTATATGAAAAAAATGTAGTTGTCACAAGCTTGTTTCGTTGATTATTATGAAATGACGTGTAAATATCACCTTTGTGAAGGTGGAAAATGATTACCTGTACCGATGAAGGTCAAGTGTTCACAAACCTGATACAAGTACTTTATGGGCGGCCGTTTTAGGACAAAATACCAATTCTACTTCAGTGAAAAAACCCTTTTGCTCTTGATGGCACAAAATGCACAATTCAGTAAAAAAAAAAACTGGACTTAAAGGTAGGAAATCACAAAATGGCAAGTATCACATAGTTAGCTAGGCTTGTATTGAAAATATCCTGGTTTGTCAATTGTATCATCAAGATAAATACATTGTACATGTTTGAAACACAAACCTAACATCTTCCTTAGGTATCGATGTGTTTAGTATGTTTCTTTGCATATCCTTTACAACGTATCATTTCTTCTGTTTGACCAAAATGGCGTTATAACTGTCTGAAGTCTTGGTTTGTTCGCTTCACTAATGTTAATAATTAAATCATATATTTATCTTTTGTATTTCTATATATGAAAGCAAAGACAGTAATCGACTTGATGGATTAATGTCATATGTATTCAAAAGCAAATATTGTGTGATGACGTCTCTGTTACAATATTTCTCGATAAGAGAATGCATTCGTTTATGCGAATTAGAATAGAGATCACTTTATTGGTTTTCTTTAGAGATTTGCCCTAATATATAGTGATGATAACGTCGCAAAGGTCTGTTTATTGGCTTAGTTTTGTGTCACTACTCATTCTATGTTTGACGGTATACTTACCATACCTAACTTGAGATATATATCTCCATACATTCTAGGTATGACACCTAAAACAATGAAATGAAGTTGCCCCTTATCAACCTATACTCGTTTATTGTAAACCTCTTATTATAATTGACATGTAGTTGTCGATATCGTCCTATTGTCAATTAACGAGATAATAAGCCTGTCTAAGTGTGTATGTTAAACTCTTTCAAATGTATTGTTTTTGTCATAGTAAAGTAGTACCAAATTAATTGTATACTACATAGATACTTACAATTAATAAAATCCTTACATATATTAAAACCTACTTACATCTGCATATTACTTGAGTCAGAAATGTCTATGTTTCACATATACTTACATCTCTATATTTTACATATACTTACATATCCAGGTCACTGAAGTCAGAAATGTCTATATTTTACATATACTTACATCTCCAGGTCACTGAAGTCAGAAATGTCTATATTTTACATATACTTACATCTCCAGGTCACTGAAGTCAGAAGAAGAATGATAGGGGAAGGTTCTGATGAACACAAAAGCAATCCAGTTTCTTCTTATGGCCCGGCCGAGTCGACGCCTATCAAAGAACACGATATGTCATTCTAAATATGTATACAAACAGTCACCAAAGCGTTCGTTAGATGATAGATAATTATGTATAGAACTATTGTGTTCTTTCTATCATATCTTTAACATTAACCAGATACTCAGCATCAATCTTCATCAGGTTTAACTCTCATATTGTAGTGAAATAAACGAAAAATTGAATTGGAATATTTAAAAAGTCGGCAAAAAATAACGTGTGTTTAATTGCCAAATATACTCCTGTCAAATACATGATTGACAGGAATAAATGTCTATTTTAATCAGATAAGTAGGCGATAACTCCAGTTGAGCAGGCGTAACTGTAATGCACAGAGATGCCCTCTATGATAAATTTACTCTTGCTCAACTGAGTGTTAATCTCCGACCAAAATAGGAAATTATTCTTTGTATTTAAAGTAGTTAAACTGGGAATGCTTCAAATAATGTAATATATACTCTTATCAGCAGTTACAATGTAAGATATAATCTGATCAGCAGTTACAATGTTATATATAATCTGATCAGCATTTACAATGTAAGATATAATCTGATCAGCAGTTGCAATGTTAGATATAATCTGATCAGCATTTACAATGTAAGATATAATCTGATCAGCAGTTACAATGTTATATATAATCTGATCAGCAGTTACAATGTTACATATACTCTGATCAGCAGTTACAATGTTAGATATAATCTGATCAGCAGTTACAATGTTAGATATCATCTGATCAGCCGTTACAATTTTTATTTTCAACATATATAAACGTGTGATCGGTTTAATAAAAATAACACACCGTGAATTTGCATAATCATGTGAAAACTATTGTTGATGACGTCACAAAATTGTGTTTTGCTCTCGGAAATAACTACAGTTTACGGAAACATTATTCATTGTGTTAACATAATAAACTGTTTAATACATTGAATATAGTTTCGTAATTACTACCTGATGATGTTACTACCTGATGATGACGATTATAATAAAACGCAAAGTACAGATACTACAGTTAGAATTACGCCCAAGTATCCACTTTTTGTGGCACG